GGATTCGTCGTAAAAAATCTTTTTTTTTCTTTTCTTCTTTTTCTTTCTTTCTTTCTTTCATTTTTTCTTTTGAAAAATATAAAAGGAACGTCTACTCAAGCAGAAGAGGGTGGGGGGAGAGAGAGGGTTTATTCAAATTCATTGTAATTCGTGGTTAGGCGGCGTTTAAGTGCGTACATCCGGAGAACACTTTGTGGTAGGTTGCTCGGTCAGCACAATTACCTTAATTAATGTGGGCCCTAATTGTTGCCGCCAGAGAGTACTAGTAGCCGACGCTCTTTCTCTTACTCTTCCCTTTTTTTATTTTTTTTTTATTTTTTTTTTTTTTTTTCTTTTACTTTCTGTATGATACACAATGTGCTCTATGATACATAAGACTCGTTTCAGCGTCGAGACGATAATTTTATGTCGTTGACGAATTGCGATGACGAATCGTTCGTAAAAAATAAAACAAAAAGAAAAAAGAAAAAAAAAAGAAGACAAGGTAGAAGGAAAATCGTAACGCGAAAATAAATTTTTCTTTTTTTTTCTTTTTTTTTTTTTGTGCGTCATAATGTTTCGTCGAAATTTTGTTATCATTTTTGAAAGCTTTCATGTTTTTTTTTTTTTCATAAATTTGAATAGTTTCGTCGGAAGTATACTCGTCGCACAATTTATGCAAAATTCTTTTTCGTTCGATCAGTAAAAACGATTTTTTTTTTTTTTTTCTTTTTTTTTTAATTATTTTATTTTATTTTATCTTTCCTTTCCTTTTAACATGAAGAAATGTATAAAAGAGATTATTGTGGTAAAAAAATTTTGATACTTTTCTCATAATTTTTATGTAAGATATTAAAGATTATGTAATTCTCGTTCCTCGTCAACGTCGTCCGCCATTTTGTTAGATTAAACTGATCGCAACGCTCGTAAATATCTGAAACGCTCTCGAGATTCTTTTTTATTTTTTTTTTATTTTTTTTTCTTTTTCTATTTCTTTCTATTTCTTTTTCTCTCTCTCTCTCTCTCTCTCTCTTTTTTTTTTTCTTTTTTGTTATCACGAGATAGATCGATCGATCCAAGCGTACTTTCTCGTTCGCTCGTACGGATTATTTATTATCTATGCAACTTCGTTCCTTCCGTGCGTCGACTGAGCACTTTCCAAGAATACCCGCGAATCGTACGAGACTTCCTGAATTATTCAAATCCTGGATGTCAGGTATTTCTGTCCTCGCGAATCTACGTGAGCGTTCGCGCAATTTTAAAACGAATCTCTGTATGTCCCTCTTTCTCTGTCTCTGTGTGTAAAAAGAGAAAGAGAGAGAAAGAGTATATCGTTCGAAGCTTCGTATATATAGGCTCACATTTATATCTCTTATATCTTAGTTACAGAAAATTATTGAATACTCATCGGAAACGAAATATCAGCATATATTTATTTATTTATTTATTTGTCAATTTATTAAGAAATCTGACGTTTATTTGATTCGATGATTTATCATCTTGTGTAGAAAGTTCGAACTAACTTTACCGTTAGTTCAAACGAGTCACAAGTATGTCGTAATATCAACCAACGATAATCAACCAGAAAGAGAGAGAAGGAGAAAGAGAGAGAGAGAAGGAGAGAGAGAGTCCACATTTCCAAGAAAATACCATCATCCCTGTCTCTTTTCTCTTTTCTCTTTATTTTAATCTTCTTTCCTCCATCTCTCTCTCTCTCTCTCTCTCTCCATATATATATATATATTTCTCTCTCGTTAATTTTTATCACTCGTATAAGTTTCTCGTAAGAGTCACGCAAACTGTACGACAGGTGTAATGATTTTTAAACGAGTCGGCACTGAAGATCGAAAAAGGAAAATGGAAGATTTAGTTCGGAAGTCGATTTACCACTCTCGTGACGGCGATCCACAGAGCGTGAAGGAGATGAGAGGACAAACGCAAAGCAAGAAGAAGAAGAAGAAGCAGAAGAAGTCTCTCTTCGGATTAACCTTGGACTTGACTCGAAGGAATGCAGCGTACAGTGACCTCCTCTCGTTCCTTCCTTCCTCAGCCACTCGCACGTTCTTGCTCACCTTCCTTCCTTGGCCGCCATCATGAACGAGAGCCACAGTTAGGTCCACCGTTCATCGACGGTTGGCCCAGTTCATCGACGACGCCCTTCTTCTCTCTTAGCGACCCTTTCATTTTAGTTTCACTTCTTCGCTGATGTATCTTTTCAAATGGGAACAATTTGAACGAGGAAAGAAATTTCTTATTGAGAAATGGATACTTTATTTTATGTCAATTTTAATCTTAAATCTAATTTTAATTTTAATTTTAAATTTAATTTTAATTTTAATTTTTTCTTTTTTCTTCTTTTTTTATTTTTTTTTATTTTTTTTTCTTTTTTTTTTTTTCTTTTTCTTTTTTTCTTTTAATGATTTAGTAATTGTTAAGAATCTTTTATTTTCTTATCTAACTTAAAACTTGACGACTGAATAAAATTGTCTTTATATTCTTTTTTCTTTTCTTTCCTTTTCTTTTTCTCCTATCTTTCTTTTCTTTGCTTTGCTTTTTTCCCTTTACTCGATTTTCTCAGTGACGGTTATTTCGTGCAGTTATTATTTTTATTATTATTATTATGATTATGATTATGATTATGATTATGGTTATTATTTTCTTTTTTTTTTTGTTTTTTTCTTGTTTTTTTTTTTGTTTTTTTATTTGTTGAATGGATCTATACGAAGAACGAGTGTAGGACATATGAAAAAAAGGAGAGCATCGATCTAAGAATGAAGTTAGCTTATCGAATCAAAGAATGCACAGACGGATAGATAAACACAATTTATTAGTATCTCCCCCGATGAAAGATATTACCTAAAGAAAGAGATATAGCGTAAGTAGAATTATAAATAAAAGGGATATATCAAATAAAAGGATAAGAGGAACATTGATCTTTAGCTAAAGTTGGCTTATCCAGTCTGGCAAAGAGACAGGCATATATTTCATTAATTGCTCAACTTATAGCAGCAATATTACGATCGAATTTATCTCGAAGGATAGAAAGATCAGAAAGCCAATGTATTTATGTATGAGAGAAGAAGATAGTGAGTTATTAGAGATTGACAAAATGCGAATTAATGTAAGATAAAAAGAAAAGAGAACAAATTAAAGAGGAAAAAAAATTATAAAAAAGAAACAGAGAGAGAGAGAGAGAGAGAATGAGTTAAGGATTATTATTGATATTTATTTATTGGCTCGTTGCCTCGATGGATTCATCATTCTATAAATAATCCCCAACAAAGGTGATTACGAGTAACAAAGCTCGCACTCTTTGGCTATTAGACACGTAATGACACGCGACACGCAACCCTCGTCCTCTCTCTCTATATATATATATCTTTCTATCTATATATATGTATATATATATATACGCATGCATATGTTTGTGTGTGTAAATATATATATATCTATTCACGACAAATGATAGTACAGAAAAAGAATGATAGAAAGAAATAAGGGAACAGATCGTAGATAAGAGTTCAGTTAATCGATAATAATAAGATAGCGAATGAAGGAATAAAGTATTGGGTGGTGATGGTCTTGCTATTGGCTTTGCGATGATATTAAGGTCATTATGATGACTGTATCGGTAGTGTTAGTGGTAGTGATGGTATTAGTATTGGTAATGATGATAGTGGGTAACGATGTTTCTGTACGTTGTATTCTGTTGGCGGCCTTCGCCTTAAAATAGTACATCGATGACTTCGTACGATTATCTTCATCTGCTCTTATTTCTTTTTTTATTTTTTCTTTGTATTTTTTTTATCTTTCTTATTCTTTTCTTTTTTTTTTTTTTTTCTTTTCTTTCTTGTTTTGTTTGTTTCTTTGCATTTTGACGTACATAGTACATGAGCATTGAAACGTATATATGTACTATTGCGTATAAAATTATATTTAATATTTACAATAAGTATTTGTTATTATCTATTTATTCGTAGATCGAAATTCGATTAGATTTCTTTAGTTCTGGGAAAGTTTTCCTCGATGAATTAGAAATGACGAGAGAGAGAGAGAGAGAGAGAGAGAGAGAGAAAAAAAAATATATGAACATGTGTGTATATATATATATGTAGAAAAAAGAGAGAGAGAGAGAGAGAAAGAGAGGGAAAGAGATTTTAATTCTATATCTTTAATTTTTTTTTTTTTTCAATCGTACGAGGCGCCGATACTCGATTAGGAATTGCGTCGATCGGTTAGAAGTTTGCATAATCGAGCCGCTCGATAGAGCCCGGTCGCTTGCGCGAGGTCTTTCTATGTGATCGTTTAGAACGTTTATTTCCGTCCTTCATGTATATAAGCATATATATCTTTTATATCGTATTGCCGATAATGTTTCTTCCTCTCTCTCTCTCTCTCCCCCTCTTCATCCCTCTCACTCACTCTCTCTCTCTCTCTCTCTCTCTCTCTCTCACTCTTTTTCTCTATTCGCATTTATTTCAGTTAACTTTGGATTTTGAAAAGTCGAGGCGTTTTAAAAAAAATTGACTGCTTTATCTAATCATTAAGTAGCAAAAAAGAAAAGTGTGTAAGAGAGAGAGAGAGAGAGAGAGAGGCGTAAATGTTACGTGAACGCCAACACGTTTCTTAGGCACGTTTTCTGCTTGAAACAGGACAAAACTTATACGTATATAAGTACATATACACATAATGTGTAAAAAAAAAGTGATAGAATAGAAAGAGAAGGAGAAGGAGAAGGAGGAGGAGGAGAAGAATATCGTTAGGATATTCTGGGCGATGCGATTAGACATTTTCGATAAAACGTCTTATCGGATAAAAATAATAACACGTCATCGATGTCGCCATTTAAGCAATAGCCCTCTCCCATTTGTAATACGATAATTTTATTATTATTATTACTAATATTATTAATATTATTAATTAATTAATAATAATAGTAATATTAATGGTAATGGTAATAACAATAATAAATATTTTCGATTAAAAGGAAACTCACTCTTCTCTCGACTTTGTTTCAGAAGACGTGGGCTATAGGAGTATCGAGATCACGTCGGCTTTCACGCATCTACCTCAAAAGGGTAAGGCTCGTGTAGTCTTCAAAAGGGGGATGGGAGGGGGGAGGGGGATGGGAAAGCATAAAAAAAAAACTAGTAGAAATCCATTAATCCGAACATGATTATAATTGTCTAAAGGCGAATCACTTCAAACTTGTTTGAAATTACGAGAGTAAGAAATGGCATTCAATAACACGCAGTAATGCCAATATTGGATATTATCGATAAAGTTCTGTACGTATTTAACGAGCAATTATTTATACTCGAAAGATCGAGAATCAGGATGATAGAAATATGTTGTTAATATCAATTAATACAAATTACATTGTATATTATCAATGGAACTACCGACCTATTTTTTTTTTTTTTTTTTTTTTTTTTTTTTTTTTTTTTTTTTTTTTTTTTATCATGCCACACATCTCAAGTGTGGCATGTATGTTACTTTGAAAAACCAGAACAAAAAAGAGACAGAGAGAGAAAGAGAGAGTGGGATAGAGAAAGAGAGAGAGAGAGAGAGAAAAGCAAACAAGCAAACGTTGGACTCATTAACATTTTTAATCTATTCCATTGTAGTTTACATAGTTGAAACGATTATGATATTCGCATTTTGAAACTTTTAACTTTTACAGCCTATTAAATATTAATGAACATTATTAAAGAAAATGTATTATTGAAAAAGTAAAATATATTTTATAGATTTGATAAGTAACCCGGAAGCACATATGTATTGTAATAATAATTATTATATCGTATTAGGCTTCGTAGGTTGTCGTCGTCGACGTCATCGTAGTTGCCGTTGCTAAATGTCAATTGCATGAAAAGTTATCGTCGATGAAATGACTCGTTCGTTCGTTCGTTCGTTCGTTCGTTCGTTCGTTCGTTAGTTAGTAGTTCGTTCGTTAGTTCGGTTGGCGGCGAGTCGCGTTGCGAGAAGAAAGCAATAGCGCTATAAATATCTCGTGGTACCTCTCGCGGATCCGCTTGGCGAAACTTGTTTGCTGTAGCCGCTTGAGGCGCGTGCGAGGAGCTCGGATTGGTTGAGGATAGAAGGCTTTTTACCCCTCCAACCATAGTCGCATGCTCTTCAAATAAGCCCTCTCTTCCCCTCTCGCGGCCAGTGTCGCGTTCGGCGGCCGTCGTCGTGCTTCCGTGAACGATTCGTAAAGTATTATCATCGGTAACACTCCTCAGCATCGTTTAGTCCGCGATCTGCCTCGCGAGCGAGCGAGCGAGCGAACGAGCGAACGAAAAAGAACGGTTTACTTGCTTCGTTACCTTCTTTTTTTTTTCTTTCCCTTTTTTCTTTTTCTTTTTTTCTTTCTTTTTTTTTTTTTTTTTTTTTTTTTTTTTTAATTTCTTTTTCTCATTCGCCTATGGATTACCATTAATTAATACGTTGTATCTTAGTTTCTCTTTTATTCCAGTGGTGACTCTAAATTTAGCGCTGACCGTCGTGTCTTGTCACGTCGTCGTTAGTATCACCGAGGAATACGTTTCGTGTGGTGTTTCTTTTTTTTTCTTTCTTTTTTTTTTTTTTTCCTTTTACTCTCTCTCTCTCTCTCTCTCTCTCTCTCTCTCTCTCTTTGTCCACTGGATTTTTTTAATAGTTTATCTTTCGTCATTATTATTATTATTATTATTATTATTATTATTATTATTATTATTATAATATTTGTATCTTTCTTTTTCTTTTCTAATTTCGATAGTTCTCTTCGTTTTTATTATTCGATAAGAGCAAAATATAGATTAACCGAGTCGCGTATAATCCCGTCTAATGGTATTCGCGTCGAATTTGACAATATACCCGATATACATATAGTGCGATCGAGATTTCTTTGTGTTTCATATTCTTCGTTTGTTCGTTTCTTTCTTTACTCTCGATTAATACATTTTTTTGTGTCTACGTAACGAAAGTTTGACTTTTATATTCATCATCAACGAAAACGTGCGACGATAAGGAAAAAGAAAGAAAGAAAAAAAAAAAAAAAAAAAAAGAACTGAATTGTCTCGTTGATGAAACGAGATGAAGAAATATTTTTGAATTGTGTATTTCTTTTTGGGAATCAAGAGAAGCAAAAGAAATAAATATGAGGCTCCACGTGGAGCAACCTGCTCGGCCACTAGCGCGTTATCCGCTTGAGGCGGTTGCCCGAGACTCCTCGCGATTTTTACCAGATGTCTGCTGTTATATGTACTACGTAGAGATGGCCAGGGACACCCCGGGCTCGCCTATGTCACGCCCGCGGGATTTGGGTAGCGGAGGTGGTGGCGGCGGCGGCGGTGGCGGAGGAGGCGGCGGCGGTGGTGGCGGTGGCGGCGGAGGGGGAGGAGGTGGCGGGGGTGGAGGTGCTGCAACGGCCACCTTAACTTCCGGCGCCTATCATGCTGCAGTTGCTACCTCCGATCCAACGACCCTGCATGGCCACGCTTTGCAACAGAAAATACTCGAGGTAACGTATGCCTTCATGGGCGCGACCTTCTTTTCTATTATCAGAGAGATCTCTTCCTATTTCTTCATCCTTCGATCATTTTCTGCTTGTCTGTCTGTCTATCCGTCCGTCCGCCTTTCTATCTGTCTCTTTCCACCCTTTGTCCACTTCTTTGTTTTACATCCCTAATTCTTTTCAGCTATATATTGCCTTTTCGATGCAAGCGTCGATCGATATTACATCGACGAATTAGTTCAAGGCCGAGAGAGATTCGCGAGCATTGCGCGCGACTGCTGCGACCGTTTGTAAAAGAAAAAAGTGCGAGAAACGATAGAAAATTTGAATTCGTAAATGATTGAAAATCCTCTATGATTGAATATTTCTAAGATAATTTTCTTTTACTCTATCGACCATTATCGACGATTATTCATGATACAAAAGTAACCATACATATAAATAATACAAATCACCGATTGAGTTTTCTTTTTCTTGTCATACATTTTACTCGTAGGTAATCCAATGATAATATGTATTCTATTCTTGACACTTGAACCATATGCACGTCATCAAGGCAAAACCCAGAGTAACGTCGATAGCCGATCCGAAAGTCGTCCAATCGTTCCAAGAAAGTATCTAAAGTATTTGGAAATTTTTAAAAAAGTATAAGAGATAGAAGAAGGAACAAAACAAGTAAGAGAATAATTTCAATGAAAATAATAAACTGTACCTGAAGTCTGGCAATGACCAAGACAATTATTAAAAGTAGGGCGAAACTATTAACAATCAGGAGCGCTCGTTTGCAAGCTAATATTGTATTTCGTGATCTTCCTGAACCGATTAGACCATGATGAAGATTGTACTCTTGTATCCAAGTTCGAATACCAGCATCTATTTTGACGTCCGTTATGTCCGAACTGACGATAGTCTGAAAGGCGATCTGTTTTTTTTAGAATATACGATCTAAAGATGGCCAGGGACAAGGTCAAGGTCAACCAGAAGTTCAAATTTGTTGTCTCTCTCTCTCTCTCTCTCTCTCTTTCTCTTACTTACTCCTTCTTCTTCAAACCGACAAAGTTTTCGATTTCAGTGAAATAAAGTGTGAGAAGAGAGAGAGAGAGAGAGAGAGAGAGAGAGAGAGAGAGAGAGAGAGAGAGAGAGAGACAGATAGGCAGACAGAAAGAGAAAGCAATCATTGTCGAAGCAAGGAAGCTTGCGTGCTCGTCAAAGTTTTGCGGTAAGCGGAGCGAGTCGTGGCTATTTCCGTTCGATATACTAACAAAGTCGCAGGCCAAGGCCACGGAATCGAGGGGTGCACGGCAAAGGGGACAGGGTGGCGGCGCCAGTGCTACCCTAACGTCGCAATAGCTCGCGAGACAATCGGCGCAAAGCAAATGGCCGCAAGGTGCTCTCACACTGATCTTTGGTGCTCCCAGACATATAGGACAAATCTCACGATTGTACGCTAAAACTGCTGGCCGTTGCTCGGTGAACTCGCTTTAATTGATCGATCACGAGATATTTTTATCATTATATATAGATGCCTTAGATACGTGTTTATATATATATACACACACACACACATATATATATATATTTATAAATATATATATGTATAAGTGTGATGATAAAGTCAAGTGTATTATTTAGAAAAAGAAAGAATTGTATTTATATAATAAAATATGTAACTAAATGTTTTATGATAGAATGAAAGTAGAATAAAGGATAAACAATTTTATATTCAACAGAAAAGAAAATAAACGAGTATGTTAATGAGTATATATATATATATATAGTGTTTTATAAAAAACTGAACAAATAATTTAACGAATAGAAGGGAAATAAACGAGCTTTATAAAATAGGAATTAGTAACGTGGAATATATTGGCATAAAGGAAAACATTGGAAATTATTAATTAGCTTGTTACGAATTTATCACATAATTATATTTGTTAAAAACCTGATTTCTTTCCCCTCAGATCCGACGATGTCTTCGTTAGATTTATTCTTCCTTGTTAAAAAACGTAAGGGCCATTTCGGTGAAGAAAAAAGTGGTTTTCTTTTGTAAAGGAGGACATAGGTACCAAAGCCAACTACCAAAATGGTTGCCTTTACGGCATATCCTTTCCATCCAGAAGAGGAGGATATCTCGTTACGAGGAATAATCAATGCGAGCGTTCTCGCCTTAGTTTGTTCCGTAAAATTCATTCTATCGTGTTTTCTGCATTGGTTTATCGGCTGATCGATTTCTTAGTGAGATTTCTTTTTCTTTAGATAACAGGCATCTTCGGAACGTCGAGAAGAGCAAGCAATATCGAATGTGTATATAAGATCGAAACGCGTTCTTTTGTTCGATCTCTCTCTCTCTCTCTCTCTCTCTCTCTCTCTCTCTCTCTCTTCTCTCTCTCTCTCTCTTTCTCTCTCTTTCTCTCTCTTTCTTTTTCTTATGAGAGAGAGAGAGAGAGAGAGAGAGAGAGGGGTATAAAAAATTTTTCCTAGTGATAGATTCAAGTTACATTTGTATTTGATCAAATAAAGTTCTTTCGTACAATTATCTCTTAGTATGTATCATCGAAGATATTTAATCCTATATCTCTAAGAATTTTATAATAACATTCTAATCATGTTGGAAATGTATTTAATGTTTCCGGAATTTTACAAACTCTCTTAATTTTATGATATGTATACATCTACCAACGTGTATAAACGTATACGAGAATAGGTGGAGATTACGAGATCATCGATCATTATTCTTGTAGTTAACTCTCGCGATGACTCTTAGATAATTCTTGGAATAATATTTTTAGACTCCGGAAAGAAATGGAATAGAGGTATCTCGTCATTGCTAACTAAGAGAGAAGCAACGATATGCACTGCGTCGATTTTACTACGTGCTCGTTCATTCGCGGACGTAACCAATTGGCAAGAGAGCTGACGCTTTGGCTACTCTGCCGTTTGTCGTCTGTCGTCGACCCACGCATTTCCTTCTGGGCGAATGCCATCCATCTTCCCGTCTTAACCATGACTTGTGTGGTTCTAATTATTCCAAAAAAAGTCTTTCATTTCTTTTCTCCTCTCTCCTTCCTTCCTTCCTTCCTTCCTTCCTTCCTTTCTTCTTTTTTTTTTCTCTTTATTTATCCATCCATCCATCTATCTATCTATTTATTTTAATAGTCTCTCTATTATTTCAAAAAATTCAAATTTGGTGCATTACCCTTGAGATGTCTGGGTTTGGTTCCAGCTACAGCAGCACCATCAGCTACAGCAACAAATCCTGCGGCAGCAGTACCAAGCACAGGAACGGCAATTGGCCGAGATGCACGAACAACAAATGCATCAGCTCAAGGTATTACTCGACTTATCCATTTTTTTCTCTCTGACCTTTTATTTTTTTTATTTTTTTTTCTTTTTTTCTTTTTTTTATTTTTACAATCATCAATCAAGTACATTTAATAATAATTATTTTTTTTCTCTTTTCGCAACACATAATGTAATTATTATCAAGCTTGAGGTTTAATATATTTAAAAGATAGAGAGAGAGAGAGAGAGAGAGAGAGAGAGAGAGAGAGAGAGAGAGAGAGAGAGAGAGAGAGAGAGAGAGAGGGAGAGAAAGGTGGAGCGATAAAGGTTTTAATCAATCAGGATATTTCGAAGCTCGTTATTTATAAACAAAGTTCATGGTATATATTTTCCAATATATGTATATATATATATATATATATATATATATATATATATATATATATTATATATATATTTAGGATTTCTTCGAGCAGAACGCATCCTTGCATCTTAGTCGACGTTCCCTGTCGTTATCATCATCGCTTACGTATTCAGAAAAAGAAATTGATAACAAAGTGTACAATAATTTTATTTTTGGAATCATTTCTCTCTCTCCCTCTCTCTCCCTCTGTGTATCTTTCATTCTTTCTCTTTTTTTCAACGATAAGAACATATATATGTATATATATATATATGTATATATATATCACATATTATCTCTCAAACGAGTCGCTCAATATTTACGAATCATTTAAAAATTGAGCATTTATGTTAAATCTCATTAACAACAATAATATCACAAGGACCAACATACATCGTGTGTTTGATATAGCTTACTCGTCGAATTCAAAAAAGAATGGAAATTCGCGTCGCACTCTTGCCTGTTAAAGTAGTAATACACATGCACATTGAAAGTCAATCCATTCATTCAAAGTATCCGCGAAGAGTCGAAAGTCCGTACGGAATATTCCTCTCATTGTGTTGTGTGTCGCCATGTCGGGCGCCGTATCGTGCGTCATAGAGAGACGACACGACAACTCTGATGATGATAATGATGATGATTATGATGATGATTATGATGATGACGATGACAATAATGATAATGATGATGATGATGATGATGATGATGACGATGACAATAATGATAATGATGATAAAAATGATAAATGTTAATTGTAAAAATAAAATCGTATTATTTTCGTAGCACGACAGTAATACGAAATAATATTACGGGGTTAAAAATGGCGACGAGAAGAGAGAAAGTGAAAGATCGTCTTTCTCATCATCGCGATAATATTTTATGCGTACGTCTGTGGGTGCGTTTGTCTCTGTGTACGTGTGTGTATGTGTGTGTGTGTGTGTGTGTGTGTGTTTAAAGAACGTGGGCACTAATTCGAAAGCGGAATTATGCAGCCGAGCAACAACGACGAAGATGTGTCTTGACGTAATTGCAAGCCTTTTATTCTTGGAGTTCTTGCAACGAGTGTGACACCACAATGTGTGCTTTATAACGGTTTATCTCTCTCTCTCTCTCTCTCTCTCTCTCTCTCTCTCTCTCTCTCTCTCTCTCTCTCTCTCTTTTTCTCCCTCTCTTTCTTTCTCTCTTTTTCTCCCTCTCTTTCTTTCTTTCTCTCTTTTTCTATTTTCCCATGCTATTTTCGGCATCAAAAGCGCATAAACCACGCGCCTCCTCCTTCCCGTGTGTTCACCTGTCGGGATGGAACGCGCCCGCGCACACAACCGTCACTTCCGCTAACAGGTGCTAGCAGGTGTTCGAGCGTACAGGTGGAAACAGGTGGTTCCGTTTCGAATTTCCCGCGTAAATACGTAGGCGTCGCTATATTGCGACTCCCGTTTCTCCGCGGGCTTCTCAAATTACTTTCGATACGATCTTAATTATTTTTTTTTTTTTTTTCCAATCTCGATATAATATTCCTTTCTTTTCTCAACCTTTCTCTTTTTTCTTACTTTCCTTTTTAATTTTTTTTTTTTTTTCTTTTTTTTTTCTTGTTTCATTTTTATTTTCGCTACAGATAAGTCGTCAGATTGAGACTAACTTAAACTAAAGAAAAGGAATATTTTCTAAAGGGATTTTTGTGTTTAGATAAAATTGTTAGACGAAAATATCAATTGTTATTATACACTTTAGTAGCGCTTTAAGAGAAGTAACGCTTTAATCGTAGCTTTGGGAAAAGCAGAAACAATTGGAGGAGCAATTGAGGGAAAAGGAACGATTAGAGGCACTCAGGAAGAAGGACAAGCACGATCATAGCGCCATCGCTTCGACGGAGGTTAAACAACGTCTTCAGGTAGACTTTTTTCTTTTTTTTTTTTTTTCTTTTATTTTTTATTTTTATTACTTTTAAAATTTATTATCGTCTATCTAATCTCTCGTACGTATTCTTTTTTTCTTTTTTTTTTTTATGATCGTGATTTTTAACATAGAGTTTCCTGGTTAACAAAAAGCAAAGGGAAGCCGCTGCAGCGGCGAACGGGGCCGTCCCTGGTACACCTGGATATAGAAGCTGGTGAGTATAATTTTTATTTTTCGTTGATTAAACAAAACAAAACAAAAATATATATATATATATATATATATATATATATATAAAACTAGTTGACTATATTAAGTAGACTCTAATAGAGAGAAAATAATTTATTTATATCATACGAAATAAAAAAGAAAAAAAATAGAGTTATAAAAAGAGAAATTTCACGGACGTCTATTTTTATAAGACAAAGCAGTTATCTTATTATATAAGAGTCTTATTATTATATCGTAGATATATCCCACGTGATACGTTTTACACGTTTTACACGTCGAGTTAAGATATATAACATACAAAGAGAATACAAAACTGGCTGACACGTGCGACGCTCAAGTTCATTATACGATTGGCACGAGAATTGATCCGGCAACGGTCCAACTAAATCCGATGCTTCATTATCTATATTCGAGTTAGTCAGTTTACGATGTTGCCGACCGAGTCGAATTGAGATTCGCACGTCGTTTTTGTTTTAATGGCTTGTTGTTAGGTCGTCTTGATAGCCCCGTCTTCGTCGTCCTCGTCGTACCGTCCTCCTCCTCCTCCTCCTCCTCCTCTTTCTCTTTATCTTTCTCTTTCTCCTCCTCCTCCTCCTCCTCCTCATCCTCTCGTTTCTTCTTGTTCTTCCTCTTTGTCGCCGACAGAGTAACGGTAATAGCACAACCTGGCCCAGTTATCCATTTAGCTACGGGCAACGAGCTCTCGAAAATATTTCCTCGTCCTCGACCAGACGAATATCATTTGTGCATCTCTACAAATTAAACGAATGATTTTCCTTAATCGAACTTGTTTCTCTTTAGTATTATTATTATTATTATTATTATTATTATTATTATTATTATTATTATTATTATTATTATTATTATATTATTATTATTAATATTATTATTATTATTATTTCCAATGGAATTTGTTATACGTCAAAAGAAGTTTAGAATTCCTTTTTACTTTTTCCTTTTTTTTTTCTTTTTTGTTTAGAAGGAAATACTTCGTTTAGAACGAAAAGAATACTTACTTTGACTTTTCTCTTCTTCAAATTGATTATTGTATTTCTTTTCCTTCTTTTTTTTTTTTCTTTTTTTTTCCCTCCCCTCTTTCTTTTTTCAGGTTGCAGCCACAGTCCGAAACAACGAGCAACACAAATTCCTCGCATCCTTATCGTATGCCACAGATGTTGCAGGAGAAGTTTGGCGATGATTTCCCATTGAGAAAGACAGGTATATATTAACGAGGATCATAGTTTGATGTGCGCAACCTCGTGAGGATTAGTCTCTGTGTGCCAGTAGAATGCCTACTAAAGCATGGATTTTTTTTGCGATCGGCCAAGTCGCTCTGTCGCGACACGATTTACGTTTTTTTTTTCCATGAGATATGATAACGATCCCTCCCCCCCACCCCCCAAGAAGCAGGAGCTTTGGCGGCCGACCCGCTCGATTTCTCGAATTTCGTTCTCTCGCGTTTTCTTCTTCTTCTTCTTCTTCTTCCTTTTCTTATGTTACTTCTTCATAGATGAAGAAGATGTTGAACGATTGGACGCGTCCCGCGATTTGGTATAATTACATTGGAAAAATAAAATAAAAGAAAAGAAAAGGTTCTTTTTTTTTTTTTATATATCTGTGCGTTGTTTCAATTCGTCATTTAAAAGTTACGCACATCTTTTTCTTTATCGACAATGAAGTCTCTCTCTTTCTCTATTTCTCTCTTTTACTTTTTCTCTCTCTCTTTCTCTCTCTCGCTCTGTCTTTACGTGTAACATATAATAGATTACGTTTATCTTCGTTCGTTTCTTTATTTTTTAATTTAAAAAAATTTTTTTTTTATTTTTTTTTATTTTATTTTTTTTTTCTTTCTTTCTCTCTCTCTCTCTCTCTCTCTTCTCTTTCTCTTTCTCTCTCTCTCTTTCTCTCTCTTTCTTTCTCTTTCTCTCTTTGCTTAATACGCCAAGATCCGCACCTTAGATCGAGTGTGTGTGTGTTGCCAATTATTAACGTTATTGAAAACTTGAAGATTTTCAATAGAAATGACGAGAGAAAATAAAAAGAGAATAAACAAATTAATCCTTGTCGATAAATAAATTATATGCAAAAGAAAGAAAGAAACAAAAAAAAAAAAAGAAAAGAAAAGGAAAGGAAAGAATTAGTAATTAAAGAAAGGTGCGTCGATCTATGTATATAAAAAAGAAAGAGAAAAAAAAAGATTAAAAAAAAAAAAAAAAAAAAAAAAAAAAAAAAAAAAAAAGAAAAGGAAATTTCTCGCGATTTTATAAAAACGATCATCGAAAAATCGATTCGTCGTCACGAATTCGAAAACGTCGCGTTCTCGTATTCGTCCTCTTCTTCTTTCTTCCACCTGGTATGATAATGACCGACTAACCCTGGCTGAAAATTGGCCAGCATCGGAGCCGAACCTGAAGGTGCGACTAAAACAGCGCGTGGAGAGGAATATGGCGGCCTTGCGGCACTCGCCCCTGATGGCACGAAGGAAGGATCGTCTTCTGTCGCACCTCAAGCGGAAGTCGCTACTAGCAAGTACGTCACCTTCATTTTACGCTCAAGAGGACCGTCTTCGGACGAACTCGCAAGACCATCCTCCGCGCGTGAGCATTCGCCGAAATTTCGTTGCACCCGTGTTCTTTTTGATTAATCATGATAGCCGTAATAATAATAATAATAATAATAATAATAATAGTAATAATAATAGTAATAATAATAATAATAATAATTAATAGTAATAATAATATTATTAATAATAACAGCAATATTCGTTAGTCTTACTTTTCTTGTTTTTTATTTATTTTTTTGTATCTCTTATCTATATCTATATCTATATCTATATCTATATCTATCTATCTATCTATCTATCTATCTATCTATCTTCATCTCTCTATTTCTTTTCTATCTTTTCCTTAATTTTCTCTCTCATTTCGTTTCGTTCTGTTTTGTTTGTTTGTTTTTTTTTTTTTTTTTTATTTTTTTTTAATTTTTTTTTTAATTTTTTTTGTTACTTTCCCCCTTTTCTCGTTTTGGACTGTTGACTTGTTGAATTATGCTACTTTGTCCAATTTTAACAGCATGAAAGATCCTTCTTACAATAATATACACACGTATGTAGAAGGAAAATATGTACGTTCGATCTCGCACCCGTAGATCGTGAGTACGGTGAGGTTATCAACAGTTTTCCACATTTTTTTGGCAATACGTAAGCAATGCAATTTCGATGGAATTCGAGCGCCTCGTCGATAAAAAATTCTTTTTTAATTCTTTAAATTCTTTGACCAAGGATCTTTTTGTTTTGCTAAAATAGAACATATGTCGATCGTTTTCAGATGCTGGTAGCAATCCAGAATCGGGGCCTAACTCACCGCCGACTGTTAATAATTCTCAGGCAAGTCCTACCGCAGGAAGCAATACAGCGATACAAGAGGTAAAATTATAACGATCGATAAGTTTTCATTTTCTCACTTTAAAATAATTTCGAAAGTTTCACGTCGTTGTTGTCATTTTATAGGAAAGCGAAAGTACGAGTTATGGTGGCCCGCTGACGAGTAGTAGTCAACAGGGAAGTCTCTCGGATCTTTCGTTATTTAGTTCACCGTCCATGCCCAATATCTCTTTGGGAAGACCACAAATTCCATCCAGCTCGGCTGTAAGTTCAAATAATTGTCTATTTTATAATTAAAATCAGCTTCTGTTGATGATCGATCAGATTTGATTTGATTGAGTTATTAGATAGGCATTATTTCAAATCGGATTATTTCGATAATTACACATAAGAATATAAAATAATCTTTCTCAGCAGAGCGGATCGAAATTAGCACCAGTCTCTGAAGCTGAAGTTCGTGCCGCATTTACGGCTCGTCTTGGTATGCCATTAACCGGTCAAATGTTACCAGGCACATTACCGTTCTATCCATCGCTGACGGTCATCGATGGAGATCCTACGTACATTCACAAACAAATGCAAAATTTGGAACAAGTGTCAGTAGGGAGCAGACAACATCCGGTATATCATACCGCGCCGATTACGGATACACAAGTAGCACATACAAGACTGCAGAAGGCTAGTCACCGGCCTTTAGGTAGTATGTTTTCGCTTTCTTCCCTTAACAAACAATTCCACGTGCGTGCTCTGTTCCGTTAAAAGAAACGAAAGTTTCTCACCAGGAGAATCAAGATGCGAAGCACAGCATGCACATTCGCGATTTATCTCAATTTAGATTAGACATTAGTATTAAATTTATTTCTCATCATCCAGGTAGAACTCAATCCGCGCCATTACCTCTTGGTCATCCGATGTTGCAAAGTGGTATGATGGCACCACCTGCGCATTACGAGGAATACCTGATCGAGAAACAACACCATGATCAACAACAGGCGCACAATTATTTGAAACAACAGATTCGTCAGACCGTATTAACGCGAGTTAGTTCTCGAGGGCAGACCAATCAGTTGGACGAAGCGCCAGAAAGCGAGGAATCCGAAGTGATAGATCTTACGGGGAAAAAGGATTTGTCGGAGGAGAGCGAAATTTCGAAACAGCAGAGGGACCGTGAACAATTTTTGCAACAACAGAGAGATCTGATGATGAGACACACCTTACAGACGAACGAGTCGACGGCCTATCCTGGCGGAAGGAGTTCACAATCCGCCAGACCACTCTCAAGAGCGCTCTCTAGTCCGTTGGTACATTTAGGTAAGCCAGAGATATGTTTGCCCTTTCGTTCGTCGTTTTTTTTTTTTTTTTTTTTTTTTTTTATTCGTAAAAGTAATAGCGATTGATGGATACACGAGATATATATCCTTCGTCATAAGGAAAAGTAAGATATAATTATTGATTTGAACTTTCACGAAGGACCTCAGGGTGGCGGTGGTGATATGTTTGCTCGGGGCTCACCTCATCGAGCTAACACAGGATTGGCATACGATCAATTGATGCTAAAACACGCCTGTGTTTGTGGTGAAACTGTAAGGGGTCATCCCGAACACGGTGGTAGATTACAGAGCGTCTGGGCTAGATTATCGGAAACGGGATTATCTCAGCGTTGCAGTCGAGTTCGTTCTCGTCAGGCTACACTTGAAGAAATTCAAACGTGTCATAGCGAGGCACACACGCTTTTATTCGGTAATTATAGGAAATGTTTATTACATTTATTTTAAAGTTGCGTTTAAATTTTGCTTTATAACTTATAAGTATTCCATCACGTAGGAACGAATCCTTTGAATCGTCAAAAATTAGACATGTCGAAACTTCCACAATTACCGATCATTGAATTGCCTTGCGGAGGAGTAGGCGTTGATTCCGATACAACGTGGAACGAATTAAATACCGCACCTGCCGCCCGAATGGCCGTAGGATGCGTAGTTGATCTCGCTTTGAAGGCAGCGATGGGTGACATCAAGAATGGCTTTGCGGTCGTTAGACCTCCGGGACATCATGCGGAGAGTAATCAAGCGATGGGCTTTTGTTTCTTCAATTCCGTGGCGATCGCTGCTCGTTTGTTGCAACAAAAACTTGACATCAGAAAGATATTGATCCTTGATTGGGTAAGAACATGGAAATATTAATTCAACTGTTATTTTTAGTGCTGAGTTAGACATTATTTTCAGTATATCATTCGAGGACAGCTATTATTCTCGAAAGGCTTTTTAAAAAAACTTTATATGATAATAATTTTCTAGGACGTTCATCATGGAAATGGAACACAACATATGTTCTACGACGATCCTAGAGTACTTTATCTCTCCATACACCGACACGACGAGGGTAACTTTTTCCCAGGTACGGGTGGACCAACGGAATGTGGTACAGGCGAGGGTTTAGGATACAACGTGAACGTAGCATGGTCTGGTGGATTAAATCCACCAATGGGAGACGCAGAATATTTGGCAGCCTTTAGAACGATCGTTATGCCGATCGCTAAGGTTTTCGATCCTGAAATCGTCCTAGTTTCTGCGGGTTTTGACGCTGCCGTTGGTCATCCCGCACCTCTTGGTGGCTACAAGGTCAGCCCTGCGTGTTTCGGTAGAATGACGCAACAGTTGCTAACTCTCGCAGGTGGTAAGGTCGTTCTAGCTTTGGAAGGTGGTTATGACTTGGCAGCGATCTGCGATTCCGCTCAGGAGTGCGTTAGAGCTTTGCTAGGTGATGAACCAACTCCAATTCGAGAGGATGAACTCACGCGGGCTCCTTGCCAAAATGCCATTGATACATTACAAAAGACTATCGCCATTCAGGTAAACTTTATAAATGATAGTTTATAATAAAAGATAATATCAATCCTTATACTGTCTTACTGAACGTTCAATCTTATTAATTATTTCCTTTTATCTTGATACAGATGTCTCATTGGCAATGCGTTAAACTCTTCGCTCATACCGTCGGTATGAGCGCAATTGAGGCGAGTCAGAAGGAACACGACGAAACAGAAACGGTATCTGCTATGGCTTCGCTTTCCATGCAACAGCCTACGAATCTTACGTGAGTTTTTATTATTTTCAATATCTCGTAGATACATTCAATATCATTATTATTACGATTCAACGATAATATTACGTTATATTAATTATCGTTAAATATTTAAGTGATGGGATTATATGATATTTATTAAACGTATACTTCAATAAAATCATATAGATCAATTAGAAATTAAAAAGTACGAAATAATTATCTCCTATAATAATTAATTCCAATTGATTTGAAATTTACTTAATTAAGTATTATCCTAAGTTGACGAATTAATTATTATTAAATATTAACGAAAACAATTTACTCGTGATCGTTTGTTTCTCATAGAACTACGCCGGATCATTCCCGAGAAGTTTCCGAGGAACCGATGGAGCAAGACGAGGCAAAATGAAGTGTACTCGTTTAAAAGATGTTAGCTATCATCGAGATCATATTGAAAATGAGTTGAGAAACGTCATGAACGCAGAGGTAGAGGAACCGAAGAAAAATGAAAACGAGGGAATCTCGTTTTTTTTTTTTTCAAAGATAAATGTAAATCATGGATTTGGTATGTTTCATTTGGAAAGATTAATCCATGAAAAGTCTACGGTGATGAGATCGTCGACGTGTTTATCTCTATATCTGTAAGTCGTCGACGAACCTTTGATGACGTTTTTCTTTTTTTTTTTTCTTTTCTTTTTTTGAAAGACACTACAAAGCATTGAAAAAAATTTTGTCAATTTTTTGTCGAATTAATATTGTCGTTCAATGAACGGAATTTTGTAAACACGCGAGTACACTATTTTCGTGTGTTAAAAGATTATCACGAAGCGAAAGAGCCATTTTATTTGTCGCTTCTTAATTGGATAATCTAACTTTTTGTTCTTTTTTTTTTTTTTTTTTTTTGTCTCTCTTTCTCTCTCTCTCTCTCTCTCTGACATTTTTCTTTTCTTCTTTTCTTTTTTTTTTTTTTCTTCTCTTCTTTGTTTCATTTTTCTTGTCTCTTTCTTTTTATTTAATTGTCCATCTCACAGAGTATACGATCCAATTTCGTTGTAAAAAGTTGTTGTAACTTGTATAGATACAATTTTTCGATGAAAAGGGCTCAAGTATGGAAGAAATGATTTTTGGTCCTCCGTTAATAACATTGGAAGCCTGTCATATAGAACTTCTTACCAGTGTCTTATTAATCAACAACGAAGGATCCCCCGTGGTTTGAGATAAGAGAGAAACAAAAACTGTCAACAGGCACGAACACAATTCTTTTTATTAACATTATAATATTATATAGAATTAATAAAGGAGAATTGACACGTAAAGATAATTAATTAATTTGTGCTTTAATATTTAATGTGTATCGAAAGATAACAACAAACTATTTACTTTTTCTTTTGTCTCTTCTTTTTTTCTTTTTTTCTTTTCTTTTCCAATCCAATTTTAAACTATACTCTTATTAAAGAATTGTATTATGTATCGTTGACAGTGTTTGGAGTGTGCTTATTAAGGAATAAGGTGTGTGTATATATATATATATATATATATATATATATATATATACACACACATACACATATAAAATACAATCTTATGCTTATCGTACTTGCTTTTCATATACATTAATAAAACGTATTCTACATCTTCTACGTACATAAAATTTAAAGTAAGTGAAAACGAGAGAGATGGCGGTCGGGGAGGGGTAGAGGAGGGGAGGGGGAGGGGTGGCCGGGAGAGAAAGAATGCATACAAGACTTCGCGAGCAGATTTAAAGAATTGTCACATTTATGCAATGAATTGTACAAATTGTTTGAAAATTAATCTATTGTTGGATCTATTATGTACAACAAAGAAACTTTTGCCATTATTGTTGTAAACAATATTGTTTTGTATATAATGATCATACTTCATTGTTTACGTTTAACGTATTTCGCATTAATCCTATTATTGTGGCACATTTTAAAATGGAAATTATTCTACTGTGTGCTGCCGGTACAATGACATTTACATAACACGATGCAAACACACATTATATATAGCCCATTATTATATCTTAATCGTTCGTTATTACTTAATCGGTTGATACGCAACATGTAAACGATATCCATTCAATTTTTATTATCAATTTAAGCAAACAATGTATGTTTTATTTTCTGCAAAATTTATTCGACGTACACGTACACCTTTCATCTATATATATATATATATATATCAGCAACTTTTTCAAAACATATATATATATATATGTGTGTGTTTTATGATAAAAGGGATTAAAGTAATGTAAGAACAACGAATATATTTAATTGATCGTTGTACGAGTCTTGAAATTCTTAATTATATATTTCATCTCAGGTTGCGATATATATATATATATATCGATATACATATATATATATATATATATATATATATATATATGTATATATGTAGGTCTCATTTTTATCTTGCACGCGAAGTCTTTTCACGCCATTGGCTGGCTGGATTGCATTGAAATTAAAATTTGATAAGTGTATTAAAAAGACAGTAGAGATAAAGATACATTGTTCGTCTTCTGCCAAAAGGAAAAACAAAGAGAAAGGAAAAGAAAAAGAAAATAAATGAAAAAGAAAAAAAAAAGAAAGAAAGGAGAAAAAGAAAAAAAATTTAATAATAATAATAATAATAATAATAATAATAATAATAATAATAATAATAATAAAATTAAAATATGGCAAAGATATACTACGTGCGTTGTGCTGGTCACTGGCGCTTTGTTTTCACCTACATACATATATG